GCAGAAGTATACTTCAGGCTAGCTGGACCATGAGCTTCTAGCTGCTTCTCCCATCTCTGCCTCCTGCATTGGCATTGGAGTGTTGGGATCATGGATATGTACCTCTGCATCCAGATTTTTAAGTAGGTTCTGGATCAAATTCTGGTCACTGGGTTTCTGCTGTGACTGCTTTTTTTTTTTTTTTTTTTTTTTTTAACCAGAGGAGCAACCTCCATGGCCTGTGGCATGCTGTTTCAACTCTGATGAGTCTGCTGGGATATAACCCCAGTACAAGTGAAAGAGCATCTGTATCATGTCAAAGAATGGAGTCTTTTGCTTCTTATGAGCCTCCATTCAAAGCTGAAGCACCTTCCGCTCTTCACATCAGCACTAATGAATTAATGCTGCAGGCTGGGCAAGCCATTGTCATGGTTCCTCATGGTTCTCACAGTTCAAAGTGATCAGGGCTAAATTCTTTGCCTTCTTCCCCAACTCATATCTCCTTATTGGTCCCATCTTCTTCCTTAATTACAAGGCCATCATCTAGTAGCCAACCTCAAAACCCACTCCCAGCTCCCTCTCCATCCACTGCTTTCATCCACTACCCTCAGCAACCATCTCTCCTATACTTCACATCCGCCTCCATGTCTGCCTTGCTTCTCTCAGACACCACAAAGCCTCACAGGGAGATGCAACCCATTTCCCAATAATGCTTTTCCATCACTCATGCCTGCATAACCTCCTACCTTTAGCCAGGGTCAAGCTGTATTTTTCAAAGATAGATTCATTCTTGCCCTGGTCTGATAAAATGACATCCCCAAATCAAAACTCTTAGCAAGGCAAAAAAAAGTTATCTCCCCACAGTAAGAAGTCCAGTTATGGAGCCACTAGGTACAGAGAACCTGTTCTCACAGTTTGAGGGTGAATGCCCTACCTATCTTAGGCACAGGTGTATACAAACTTGTCCCTAATGGTGACAGTGCTTGAGAAGGCTGTGGACCCATTAGCTTTGCTGGGAGCAGATCACTAGGGGCAGACCTTGAAGTTTCATAGCTTGACCCCACTTCCAGTTCACTCTGCTTCTGCGCTATAGGCGCCATGTGACCAGCTGGTCTCCTATTCCTGCACCCATGCTCTCCAGGCCACAGCGGAATATCTCCCCATGAACCATGAGCCAGAGCAACCCATTCCTTCTTTCACTTGCTTCCTGTCAGATACCTTGTCCTATCGATGAGAAGAGCAGCTGATGCTACTAAAATTTAACTGTATTAAAAGTTAAGAAAAGGGAAAATTCTCTTCCTCCACTACATTGACACCAGGCCCGTCTCAGGGGCTCAATAGCCACGTGCATTCAACATGTACCCAGCTGCCGCCTTTATTAGGAGGACTTATATAAACTTGTGAATAGGTGAAATAAGGCCCTTCTCTGGGTTCCTCTCCTGCTAACTTCGTCCTCTTTGCTCTGTATTGTCATTGTCCTCCACTCCCTGAGTTCTTTGCTACTAGTGAGAGGCTGAATCCAAGCCACTGCTGTCCTTTAGAGTGCCTGGTGCATGGGGGACACGCCTGTGTTCCTTTCTTTTCCCTAAGAGAAGCCTTGACCGAAAGAGAAAATAAGGTGCAAGATGCTCATTTCACATTTTTATATTTAAAATCACAAAACAACAACAACAAAAGAGCAACTCCACCCCATCTCTCATTTTCGGTGCTGATCTCAGAGGCTCTCCAGGAATGAACCCTGACTCTTCCCAAGATCAGACTTCCTTCTCGTCCTTCAGCACCACAGGGAAATGGGCTGGCAAAGAGGCACTATTGTACCAGCTGATTTAAATGGAAGTGTTTTCCCCAGATAAATGCGTGCTAAATAATATACCAGCTCTCCAGCCAAAGGGAAATGACAGGCACTCTGCAAATAAAGGCACTTAGTCGCTGGTAAAGAGCTGTAAAGTGGCTCCGAGCTGATGTTTGCTGACCAGCAAGAAGCAGCTTCACCTGCTTTATGTGACTGTCAGTGCAGTTTTGCCTGCTGTATATTAAAACTGCATCTCATAGACCCAAATGTCACATCGGATATACCGGCCCACATGGAACACGCCACCTTTGGCTGTAATCGTTTTTGACAAGCAGCCATCACATATCCTCTCTTTTCAGAAAGTGTCTGGTCCAGAATCCCTAGGCTGGGTCAGTTCTGACATCATGTGGGCTAGAAAAGTGACACTAAAGAGGAAGGTGAAGAGAAGCAAAGGGGGAAAAAAAAGAGGAGTCCCAATCACATGCCCTGGCAAGTGCATAGACACAGATGCAAATCCTTCTGTGGCAGCTGGACCTTCTCAGTGCTAATGGACCCCCTTCCTGTTCAATTGTAGCATGTTAGAACAACTTCCCACATGGTCACATGAGCACTCCACCACAAGAGCTGCGCAGCTGTCCTCAGTCCACATTTCTGGACCCAGTTGGGTTCTGGAAGAATTAAAACATGGCTTGTGCACAAAGTTAAGGTGTTTGTGGGGTTTTATCAAGGACCATAGAGTGCATCGTGATGAAACTGGCTGGCAGGTATGAGGAACTCTATGGTTTACATTTAGGGCACGTATGATATGCTGTCCAAAAATGCAAAGAACACGATGCCTCTGTCGCCTATAACTCCAGCCTCCTTTGGAGTGTGGGTATTCCAAATACCTGGATGGAGAAGCAAGAATCTGAGGCCACTGGGCACGCCAGCTAGTTTAAGTGGTCTTAGAGGTGGGGGACAGCAGGGACCTTCAACTATCTCCCCCATGGCTAGAAATCAAAGAATTGTGTACTGCATGGGCTCTAGAGGTAAGCAGTGGAGAAAAGCCAGTTTTTGGTGCTGTGAACCACTACTGGGCCATTGTCCTTGGAATGCCAGAGGGGAACCAGAGAATGATATGTCAATGACAGGCCAATGACAGGATAGGATAAGACAGAGTGAGAAAGAAAATGACACACTCCTATTTCAAGTGTACATGTAATACATGGTGGTGTATATTACACGTCTGCAGACCGTGAAGTCCTGATTGTATTGGGAGGACACAGATAGGCCAGGGAAAGGGAGCGCTTCCTTCCCTCTCCTGTTCTCTGCATCTCTAACCAAGGGGAGAACTGCTCCTTCTAAATTACCCCCCCTTGCTCTTCCCTCCCCAGGACAGGAGACATGTTTGAACGAGTTGATCAGTATGTTCAATGCACTGCTTTAGAACAGCCTGCACCAGTCACCCAGGGACCTCATTAGAATGCACATCTGACAGGTTGTATAAGGTAGGCCATGGGAAGATGTATTTCCAACAAGCTGCCCCAGGTGATGCTCACATCAGGGTGAAAGTGGGGAAGACAAATGAAAGAGCAGGGGTTTAGAGGAAGATACCACATACCAGCCAGCTGCATCCAACCCCTGGAAGGTCAGCTCACTGTCTTTCCACATCCTTTCTCCCCAGTGCTCCCTGGGCAAGCTGGGCAGGAGGCAAGTTCTGTTTCTTGTGTGTACAGACTGGCAGAACTCAGGGTGTCTCTTAGGGTTTTGGCACGTTGTTCTCATTTTCTTTGACTGTACTAATATTTATATTTTGGAACATCAGGCAGCATGATGGGATGGAGAGGCTGAAATTAGGCCTGAGGCAGGGTTGTGTCAGAGAAATGGAAGCTGAACATGACTCCGTTAGTATTAGGGACTGATGCAATGCTCAGAAAGGTTGGAGAAGCACAAGTCAGCAAAGTGGGTGTGTTTAAACTTAGCCTAGAGCTGCTGGGAATCCCAAGGAAGTCTCTGCCTCTTCACCTGGTACCCAGCAGCAGAGCCACTGATTCTCCAGACACTTCCCTGAGAGTGGCTTTGAACCTCACAGCTGCTCATGGCTCTATTGTAAAGCATTCAGGCTTCTCCTTTTCTTTCACTTCCCCAATCCCACCTCAGGGTACCTCTTTCCCCTAGCCAGCCCTCCACGAGAGCCAGTACAAGGAAGAGAACCTGCAATGGAGGGGTTTTCAGGCACTACAGTCTTTTGGTTTTCTGGCAATGCTGATCAGAAGCTAGACACGGGTATTGATGCTGAGTTATTCAAAGACAGCAGAGCACGAAGGTCTTAGCTCCATGATCCAGTAAAAGTTCCAGAAAATCCTCCACGCAGAGCTCCCAATGAGGAGCTTCCTACCTCAGTAGCTGCAGGCCTCATGGCCTTTGCTCCTTGGAATGATGAGAGTAAGGCCCCGATTCAGCAGTCAATCATGCCCATCCAGTAAGCCTTGCATGACCCACATAGAGCTGTCACTCAGAAGAAAATGTTTCTTCTCCTACTCTTTTCTATCCTGATTTCCAAGGTCATTTATTATGGGGTTACTTGCTGTGCCACTTCCCTAAGACTACAAGATGACATCATTACTTACAAACCACCTGTCCAGGATCTCAGAGCAAATGACAGGGAAGATTGAAGCCAAGAGAGAAGGCAGCTATGTACCACTTCAGGCCTCTGTGCCTTCCATAGGAAAATGTATAGTCCAGTAAGCATCACTCCTTGCTATATGACTTCAAGTATCTGTATCATCTCTACTCTTTAGAGATCACCACCCTTAGCTGAGTAGAGTCTTGGATGTGACACTAACCACAGCAAAGCTTAACATTCTCTTTTCAGCTTCATGGAAAAGTACTCACAGTGAAGGAGAAGGAAATTGTACAGCTGGCATTTACACATTGCTCTGGCTTTTAGACAGTGACCCTGGTCATGAAGCCCATTGTTTGAAAAGGCAGAGAGAGTAGGCATTTAAAGACACGTCTATTGCCTCAAAAGACAACAAACTGGGGGAGGGAAACATACATCAGGTTTCAGGTCTGGATCTCCAGATGGCAGGAAGAACAGATGCTCCTCTGTAAGCCATTGTGGCAACCACAGGTTTCATTGCCAGACAGGCTGATGTGAGACTCTTTGAATTACAGAGTGAAGGCTATCCCTCTTGCCAGCCCCTGTCCCCCATAGGCACAGCAGAGAAGTATTACAGGCTGTCCTTACCTTGGGAATTAGCCTGCAAGACCCCGATGCTGTCATCAAACTGCATAGATTTGATGTTGAGTGACGCCAAGATGCATTCCTTGTCCTGAAGCGAAGTATCATCAATATTATTCTGATTGGCTGACAGGATAACGCACATGTCACAGAGGTTGATGTTGACAGCCCTTAAATCAGCCCGACTTAATGGCGTACCCTTTGGCATGGGGGTGTGGGAGGAGCGAGAGGAGAGAAAGAGAGAGGGGGGGAGAGAGGGAAAGAGGAAAAAATAAAAACAAATTAAAGATTGAGCAGGAGCTTTGGGACATTATTTAACAAGTATCTTTTTTATGTCTTGACATTAAGCTGGCCTAACTACATTTCAGGGAATAAGGGCTGCACGCTAATCTAAAGGGTAGTTGGTGCTGATGGCAGCATTTCAGGCCAGTTCTCAATACTCAATCAAGCTATTACTAACAAACGCGAGACGAATAATGCCACGGTCTACATCTTCCTCCTGCCTGGAAATTGTCTTGATTTAAGTAACTGTCCTGTGGCAACCTCTGCCTTTCAGAACATAACGAGGGGGTGGGCTTCAAATGCCTGTTTATTTAATAGCAGGTCACTTCTATCTCTGGCAACAGACAGCGTATCCAACTAGAATTTCCAAAGCAGCCATGGGGAAATCCACAAAGCAGGGTGTGATGAGGTGGGGGCTCATGGCTCTGCTCAATCTGAGGGAGCCAGTGGAATTGGTGTGTATTTTGTATGGGGAGAGGAAAAGGGGCAAGCTTCGGACCATAAAATTTTATTGCATAATGTTTAGTAAGAAAAAAATGCCAAGGAAAGGACACAATGATCCAACAACATGAACATAGTTAAACATATTCTGGGGCATGTATACAACAGAAGATGTGTACTATAGGCACAGCCTGAGCGCGAGCCTTCCATGAGCTCACTGAATTGGAATAAGCTCCAAGATAAAGAGATTAGTAAGTGGTGGGGACGTGGGTATCTTGAACAATTTAAAAAGTATAACTCTATTTATTTGGAATAAATGAAGCTACTTGAAGTCAAAATTATATATTTATAAATATATGTAAATTCAAAAAGAAAACTCGGGAAAAACTATACACTAAACTAATAACAGTAATTACCTCTGGGAGAGGAAAGGATGGAGTGGAAAGTTTGCTTTTGACTTTATATACTCTGATATTGTTTGAATATTTTATAACAAGAACAGATTTGTATATTACCAGTGCAATTAAAAATAAATAAGCCAGTAAACAGAGTTTTTAAAAATCCCATAACAATGTGAGACAGTAGAAACCCCTGTAGATCCAAGGTTAATGGTGAGGTATAAGGGTAGATTTGATGGACTGGATGAACACTCTTGACACTGGGCCATGCCGTGTCAGAGCCCCTCAGCAGCCACACAGCATTATTTTGGGGGTCCCATGTAGTCAAAAGCATCCCTGATCCTCTAGGTGGATTTACATTTACCCTTGTATATATGGATATCCAAGTTGCCTTCAGTCTCAGCCTGTAGTGGCCAAGTGTTTGCTGTATACATCTCCGCCCTTCCCAGCACTAGATGGCATTGGGAAAATAGAATCTGGATAACTATGGAGCCCTTCAGCTCCTCTTTATGACTCAGTGGAAGTCATGATTCTACTCTAGGGCTCCTAAATATTGCTGTAAAGTTGAGCCACAGAGAAAGGGCATCTGGGGCCATAGGCTGGCCCAGGCCCTGGAGTGGTATCTTGGGAGAAGGAGAAAAACACCATCTTCTATGATAGCTTGGTACAAAATTAAGTGTGACCAACTTTCTGTATCACATTGCCAGTGTATAAACAACAGCTGTCGATGTCCACGTTCTTTTAATTTTCACCTTGTAGGAAAGCCAGCAGTAATTGTGATCTAAAGGAGCTCACGTTCAGTTTTAGGCATAAGATTTCAAGCCACAAGAAATACCAAAGTCATACAAGAAAACTTTTGTTTCTCTCAGATGCCCTTATATGAATGACATAGTTTAAACAATGGCGACAGGGGTTAAGGCTTATAATGTACAAACCCGCTGTGCTTAAGTGTGCTAAATTTGAGGGGATTTATAAAGGTTCTACAAATATAAGGCTCATCCTGACTTGCAGAGGCAGGTGAGGAAATGTGAATGGGGTCACACAGAAGGAAACACACACACACACACACACACACACACACACATCAAAGGTCATGCTACAAGCCCTTCCTACCTAAACATCTACCTGTGCATCTAGCAAAGTAGTTCACTTTTTGCAGAAATACCTTCAGAGGTAAAGGGGTCATGAGGCATAGCACCTATAAGATAGTGATAACCACAGAAAGGTACGATCAAGTTGGTTGGTCATGTAGGAATATGACCAATTTAGCAACAGATACACAGATATGCTTCTTTAATGAGTGAGTTATAACAGGTGATCATCTTTAGCTACATGTATACATTAAAGCTGTCAGGGTTTGGTCCTTTATCCAAAAAGGATCTGTCTAGTGGGGATTTTGTGTTTGTTTGTTTTTTGTTTTTGCATTGAGGAGACTTTGTTAGACTAGGCATTATGGGAGATACATAGTGCACACAAGGGTGGTGGCTGGAGATAGCCCCTTATATATCCTTCACTATATTATATTGCTTGGCTCTTGTGGCTGCCTTTCTGCTGTTCTGCAAGCTGACTAAAAAGTAGGGGAAAACAGACCTCTTGACAGGTAAGGGGCTGCATATCCCTTGATTTTAGGTAGGATTTGATAATAAAAATAGTTGAAGGATAGGTAATATTTTTCTGGATTTCTGACACACATAGACAACCACATAAAACTTTGAAAAGAATTAATATTCTTTAAGTCTGAAATTTTGTGGAGAATATATTATAATTAGAAAGTTGTTAGCCATTTGACTTTTAAATCACTCATCCCTTTTCTTCACACTAAATTATGGGGTCCCAAATTGTCTTCCATAGATTGGTGTCCTAGTGATCTTTATAATCAATAAGCACCTATATGTACATGTTTTTACATGTATACACAAACACACAAAGCCATGGAAAACATGTCTGGGTTTCTAAACAAAGAATGAGTAGAGACTGGCCAGAGAGGAGATATGGAATTCCATATAATAGAGATAAATCTGCTCTTTTTTTTTTTTGGTCAATATCAGATGGAAGATGGGACAGATCTGTGTTTCTCTAAGTATTAGCCATGTCAAATTAAAATGCCAACAATAATTTTATGAGTAAATTCTTGGTGTGTATATGAAAATAGGGCAACATTCTAAATTTTACCCAGTAAAGAGTTTAGCCAGTGGTAGGTTAGTTAATGCATGTGAAGGTAGCTCAGCATCACCCCTGACAAGGGGCTACACTTGGCTGCAAATTATTTTAATAAGGCCTCCCAGGGTTTTACTTCCTTAGCAGCGCACAGGGGAAGGACTGCTACATCCTCAGGCCTGTAGCCACATAAAGGAGCAGAGACATGATCAAAGCTTCAACAATTACAGTCACCTGGGACTTCCTCTTGCGGATGTAAAGATGAAGAACTGGACATCAAATAGTGTGACTTGACTTACAGGCAATATGGACACTTTGGGGAAATTGTGCAGTGTTTCCCACTCCCGCTTGAGGTACTCAATGGAGCCCACAAACACAATGTGTTTGAGCTCATGATAGTGAAAGTTGCTAGCACGAAGCGGCATCACCAGGTTCCGGAGGCCAATGAGGGCTGAGCTGACATCCCCAAAGATGCAGACTACGACATGGCCACTCAGGACTGTCATGGCAGCTTCACTTCGAGTCTGTAACAGAGAGGGGTACAAGAGTATCAGAAAGAAGTGCTCATAACATTGGTATAAGGGGAGAAAGCATCACTTATATAGAGGACAAAACACTCATTAACGCTTAAAGATTGTCCCCCAAGGACCCATTGTAGTTAAAGTTTTTGTCTCCAGGGTGGCATTATTTTATGGAGGAGCTTTGTTTAGTTGAAGCCTAGTTGAGTTCCTTAGATTATTGAAGGTGTGGGGCAGTTTATGTGCAACTGCTGGGAGTTTTCACATGACTCCTTGACTCCATGTCTTCTCCAAAGACAATCGGTATGAAAAGAGGAAACATGGACACACCTATCTCTTTTCTCTCTGCTCATATTTGCTTCTACACTCTATGATCATCCACCACATCACCAGACACCAGGGAATTGGGGTAGCCCAACATTAGACTTAAACTTCTTAAACTGTGAGCTACCTTTTCTCTTTGTGAGTTAGCTATCTCAGACATTTTTGTTATAATACCACAAAGGTACCCAATATAGCTATGATTTGTACTGTGGTAAAACAAAATGTTTAATTTAGTTCAGAATAATAGAAAAGAAGTAATTCTTCAATATCATATATAAAATTGCACAAGACACCTATTCTAATGGATAAATGTATACTCGGGAAAGTGGGGAGCTAGATAGAAAGGTAAAACTCAGGTCACCATGTGGGCTGCTATATAACACCATTTTTTTAAGGAAGTCAAAGCTGGTTTAAAACTTCATGTCCAGCATGTTAGAGAACATATAAACATTTCTAAGAAGTTTAGTGCCTACAGCAATCATACACGCAGATAAATCACTCTGCTTTGTCCTTCTTGATTCTGTTCATCATTAAAGAATATGTAAAACACTGGTAAGGCAGGACATATACTTTAATTATGTCATACATTCCTATAAGCATATATTCACACATTACTACCTTCTAGAACAATAGGTTTAAGAAGAATGCACCATGTAGACCTGTGAGCAGAAGACAGGGGATAGAAATCTTTAGGAGAACAAAGACAAGAAAAAGGGATGTTTAGGTTTATGGAAAGAAAGGAAGTCTTAGTGTCCATGAAATGGGTGGTAAAACATTTAATCCCAGCACTAGGGAGGCAGAGGCATATGGATCTCTGAGTTGGAGGCCAGCCTCATCTAAAGAGTTTGTTCCAGGACAGTAAGCGTTACACAGAGAAACCCAATTTCAAAAAACAAAACAACAAACAAAAAAAAAAAAAGAAAGAAAAGAATATATGATAAAGTGAAAACAAATGAAAGAAAAGAAATAAAGAATGAATGAATGAATGAATGAATGATAAAATGAGATCCCTTTAGGCCCTTTTGCTAAGATGATGATTAAATGCTCCTATTCATTGGTTGGTCTCAGCTGAAATTTGAGGTTCTCTTTAGATGTTTCAGTGAGGTGGCATACCCAGCACTGTCTCAGTATATAGAATGTGATATCTGAAACCCTTAGGCTGGCTGCTGTGGTTGTAGCCTCAATCTGATGATACAAGCTTCTATATATCCACTGAGGTAAAACTAGTTTTTAAAATTCACAATGACTAAAAAGTAAATCAACATTAGAAATGTCACTATGAAAGACGATCATATAAAATTCACATTCCAATAAAGTTTTACTGGGACACAGCCAACTCACAATAGTTATGTATTTTCCATGGTTGCTTTCACGGAAAACAAGAGTTGTCAGTTGAGACAGAGATCATATGGCCTGTGAGACTTAAATCACTGAATATGACCTTCTAGAGAAAAAGCATGCTGACCCCATGTTCAGACTTTAAGAGTTTCCTGAATTATTTTTGGAAGGGCTTGTCTCATATAAAAACCCACAAATAGTCATGACAAGGGTCTAGAAGTTAATCATTAAAGACACAGGTCGATGTCTTTCCCTAGCCTCAGACCTGTATCCATGAAGATGACAAAAAAAGGAATACTCTCATGTAGGGGAGGACCCCAGTTACCAAGAAAATGCAAATGGCTATCTGCCCATCATTGACCCTTTGCTTATGATACAGTTGAAAAGGACAACAAGATGAGGTCAGGGTGGGGGTGGTCCTTTGTTTCTCCTCTAGTCAACACTTTCACCCTGCCTGCCATCTTTCCTGTTCCTTACCACATGCTCGAAGGTCCCTTGGGGTTTACAATGCTTTGGGGGAGGCATATTAATGTCCACTGAACACACTAGCCTCTGCTTGATTTAATCCCTAGCACTGACCAGTGTATTGATTACTTAAATGCCAATATTGCAATTCACAACAATGTCAGGGTTATTACAGCAATCCCCAGGAGGACAAGAAGCTAGCTTTCATTTTCTGGTCATTAGAATAAAACAGTAGCTATCATCATTGCTGGTGTCCCAGAATCTAAGGAAGCCTGAGACACAAGCTGTAAGAAATATATCATAAAAGGTGACCCAAGAGGTTCCCCAAGGACTCCCGTCACTTTTTGCTGCTTTGTCGGGGAAGATCTGAAGTTGGTTGATTGAGAAGCACAGAAGTTCAAGTGGCTGGAGCCAGAAGCAAAGAGGTAAGCCCTCTGGGGAGTTATGATTTGGGGTTCCTGAATATTTTCAATGGCTTGTTCACCTAAGAGGATAGTTCCCCTCAACAGAGAAGTACAAAAGGGGTGAAGGATGGAAGCTGGAAATCAAAGGATGCAAAAATTAATTAGGTACCAGTTGGCAGAATCATCCAGGCATGGAAGCTAACCTCAAGAGCTTAGAGCTGGGGCAAATACCAGTTCTCAAAGATGCCAGAGCTATATCCCCTAGGGAAGTGTGTAAAGTTCCAGTCCTGCACCTCAGACCTGGAGAGCCTGGCTTTCCCATGCTTAAGACCCAAAAGAAAAACCCTTTAGGAGTTTCTCTGTTCAGCCTTTAGCCCCTCCTAAGCAGAAACTATTTGTACTTGATGGAATTCCCTGGCTGTTTTAATCTTAGACTGGTGCTTATTCCATGGACCTGAAGAAGACTTTGTATCTCATACCACTTAGCATCAAAAAGATTGCTTCATGGTTTAACTTTATATCTTCTTTTCAATTAGAGCACTGTTTCTTCTATTTCCAAATCATCCAAAGTACTCAGTGAATAAATCCATTCCATAAGTATCTTCCACAGGTGCTTCCACATTTCTGCCTCCACACTTCCATTCTTCTCCTCTACCCATTGAACAAAAACTCCATCTACTCATTACTGCAGAGAGATCTCCTTCAATCCTATTGCCTCAGTAGTACCTCTAGACTCTGTCCTTCCCAGGAGTCTGCTCTTTATTCATATCTAAATTATTCTCACGGACTCCTTCACCACCCCACTGGCCTTCCCTTTGCCCTACTAGAATACAAGCCCTGTGCATCATGTCTTAGAACAAAAACAGTACCTAACCCATAGTGTGTTTGCTATCAATGTTTCCTTAACTGATATTTTTACAAATGAACTTATATTCCTAAATTCCTTTCTTCTAAAAGGGGATATTGATCACATGTCAGTTAGCATGTTCTATGCAGAATGTTCAGATGATCAACACCAAGGATGTGACCAAGCCACTAGTGACCAATCACAGAGCATTTAAGTGGTTAGAACCATCTATTTCCCCTCCTGGCAAATCACATAGCGGCTGTCGGCTGAGCATTTTGACTTTGTGTCTGTAGTTTTCACAAATCTGAGATAGCTTCCAGCACAATGCTGTATTGGCTCACAACGCTCACTTATAATTAATTTGAAAACACACACACACTATTTAAAACATAGTGGGGAAAATGAATGAATTAGCATACAGAACCACTCTGAGGATCTGGAAAAGTCCTTGCTAAAGGAAGGGTGGCCCTGAAATAGAAAATGATAGGATTTTCCTACCTGAAAGTGGAGAAGGCCTACAGCCATCTTGGGGATTGGAGGCCCAAGGAAGATGAGCCCAGTCTGGCTGGCCTTCCTGACTATTAACCCACTATTCATGGATTAGCAAGACAATAAACTCTAGGGATGCCAGTGTAGGCACAAAACCCTAAAGCTGTTAACAGGACAAAGGCAGACAGTGGAATGAATTGTTGTCTGGGCTAACTTTTCTGCACCAGAGCAGGGAAGCCTGCTATTTCTAGAGGCATCTCTAAAGCCTTTCCTGAAGCAATCATCTGAGCTGCATCAAGACAATGGACCACAGTCTTGCAATGTCATCCTCAGCAAATGAACTTGCCTGTCTGCATCATGTGTTAAGAACCGAAAACATGTTAGGGGAAGAAACACTACTGGAGGTCTGGAGAGGTGGTTTAGTCAATCAACAGCTTGCCATATAACCATGAGGACCTGAGTTTGATTCCTGTCACCCACATTAAAATGAAAAGGCTGGATATCGTAGTGCAAGCCCATGAATACAAACATATAACAAAACAAAATGAAGCAAAATTATAACATATAACAATTCAGGCAATATTCCTATTACTTCATGGTATTTACAAAAAAATCATGATAAGAACAGCAAGTAAGAGAAAGGTGCCTCTGAGGAGTCGGGAGTGAGATTTGTACCACAATCTTATATAAGTTGGGGTCATTCTCATCCTGCCATCTTACAGATGAGATAATTAAAATGCAGTGTTCAAGAACTGGCCTAAGGCCGTGCAACTACCAGATGGCAGGACCAGGCTCTGGCCCCAAAGCCATATGAGGATCAGGAGTGATGTGTATCCTATCTCCCATGATACCTTGCCACAGTCCATAATCACCACTATTATCCTGATAAAAATGCAGAGATTGGAAGTTCTGCTCTCTGGAGAAAATAAATTCAGCTCTAAACTAATGCTCTGATCAGAGATCTCGCTGCTTCAGTATCTGGTCAGAATTTTAGTTTTCAAAAATAGCTAGTGCAAAGTGATAGTGTTCTCTACTATTCAGTTAGGAACATCTTCACTCTGAGCAAATTCCTCATGCCAGCCAAAGGAGATGGGTGTCGACACCATGCTCCCTCACTCACCAAGATGACTTTCTCAATCTCCTTGGGTGCACACCAGTGAAACATTCCAGTGGAGTCGTACTTTTTCACATTGGAGTCCATGTTGTCAATCTGATCATTGCCAGGAATTAACAAGGGGTCATGCCTGGGGAGAAAAGGCAGGAAAAACTAAGTGGGAAATGTAATAAATTATAAATACAAAGAGTCCCCAGAGTCACATCTCAGAAAAGATGACAGATGCTGAGAAAGTGGCTGTCACCAATGGCCATCTTCTCTCCTGCAGAGAACATCCCTTGAAAGGCAGCTGTCCAAACCATGTGCCCCTCTGGAAGGGCACTTGACTTTGTCAGGTAGTAATTCTGCCTTTTTCCCTGCCCATTTTGCAAATGGGCTTCATGCCATTTTGTGGGTTCAGCTTCCTTTTTTATGACTATCTCATTCCTTATTGTCTCAATTTACCAGCTACCCAGTTTCCCCAGCATACATACCACACTCATGCACATGCACACACACATGCACGTACCCCAAAGGGTTGCTATTAGCATTGGCAATGAAGAGGAAGGAATAGGAATAGAGCCTCATGCTGGCTGACTGGCACCAGGATGGAAAGCCAATTACTCGTTCTTTCTGACTACAACTTCTGACGCGATGCTCTTCGCAGTAAAAGCTTTAACAGGCTGCACTTTAAATATTTTAGCAATTTGCCCAATCAGATTTTGCTCTCCCCGGCTGAAGCCCTTTAAAGATTCAGCAGCGTGTCACTTCAGAGCAGATTGACTACCAAATGCCCACATCTGGATTACATGATTTCAATACTAAACAACACCCTCTCTCCTCGCCTTGACAACTGTATTTGTGCTTAACTGTCCAATGACGGGCCCCTCATCTCCACCTTCATTTCCCAACATGGCATTCCTTGGATGAGAGCCTCCAGCTCAGATGCATCTTAATAAACTTGTTTGAAATTCTCAGGGCTACACCCGCTGCTTCTGGAAGCATGGCTGCATAGAAGTCTTCCTTCCAATGGGATGGCAGGGTCTAACTGACAACTGGAGGAATAACAATGAAATCAGGTAGCTCTACTATGCCCACAGTATAAGAAACAAGCCTTACAGACCAACTTATAGTCATTGTCTGCAGCTCTATCTCTGATATGGTCAGCATGTGAGTGTGTGGGAAGCCCCTGTCAGCATCTACAACACTGATCATGTACAATTAAGTTATTATCCCACGCAGACTTATCCTGTGCCAAAATAAGCTTCCTTAAGCAAACTGTCGACCAAAGACAAAAAATAGAAATAGCTTTAAATTTCAATATTGTATAGTGAAGTGATATTACCTTTAAAATTATCTATTTCAGACATTTAAAGGATAATCTTTATTTATGTATTAATGTCGCTTCCTGAGAAATACCTGATATTTTTCATCTCTTTGCTCTGACTATAGAGAGTAGGGCAGCAATCTTTCTACAGAATTAAGCTTTTGGATATATAGCATGACCTGTCTATTATGCCTTCCACACACGGAGAAGACAGGAAACTCACTGCATGTTTTTATTCTCGGCAATTTGCTTTGAGGCCACAGCAAATGATGAATACCATGTGATGCGATCCTGTGGTGTCATCTTCAAGGAGCATGCTAGATTACTGCAGAAACTGTCATAGCTGATCTTTAAAGAAGCAGGACAACCCAATTCAGAGTAGCATCTCAGTAGCCCGGTTGTTGACAGGTCTTGAGGGGCTGTAAACTACCAGAACACCTCTCATATATAAAGATAAATCCAAATGTGCTGAAATCAGGGTCACTGAGATGGATCAGTGGACAAAGGTGCTTTCCATGCAAGCATTTGACATTTGAGTGTGATCCCTAGAAGCCATGTAAGGTGTATAGAGAGAACTGACTCTCGGTGGTTGTCTTCACACATACACACACATACACACATACACACACACACACACTATAGCATTTGTGTTCCCACCCCCAGATAATATGGATACACCCATAGCTTTCCCTCACATACACAAATAAAAATTCGAATGCTAAATGTGGACAATTATTAATTAAAAACAACTAAAAGGCAGTTGCTGGTTTGACCTGGCTGCAGAACACAATGAAAGCATAATAAGATGGTTTGGGGTCGAAGGTGGTTTTGTTCAGTGGGTAAAGCCCTTGATGCACAAACATAAGGACCTAACTTCAGATTCCCAGCACCTACAGAAACATGGCTCATGATTATATCCCAAGAAATGGCAAGAGAAGACAGGTAGATCCAGGAAATTGGTGGCTAACTGGCCAGCCAACACAGCCTAGATGGTGAGATTCCTGGTGGAACTGCATCAAAAATTAAAGTGGCCAGTAATAAAGAAAGATACATGACCTCAAGCTTTCTCCTCCATATGAACATGCATGGGTGACCAACCCCAACATTTACATACATCTCCATATAACACACTCATACACACATATACACGCCCTTTAGTAAATGAGGGCTTTTCTTATTCAACTTTGAGAAATCTTTAACAGTTCTCTAGCTATCCAGCATCTGTCATAGGTAGGTGGACAAAGCTACTATAGAGAAGGAGCTTGACAAAAGACACTATTTCAAACCTTGAAGAACATGTTTTGAGGGACAAGAGAATCTTAGACCTGCCATGAAGAAGAGTCAAGTTCAAATTCTCTTGCCCTTATTCATTGGTTGGAAAGATGTTATCTTAGCTTCTAAGGGCCAGGTACCTGTTTCCAGGGAATTCCGGTCTTAAAAGATATCTAGGACTAAATTCACATGTTACCAGCCAAGCTGAAGATACAGCAGGCTGGAAGAAATTCATTTTAAAAAATACATGCCCTGGGAGAGAAGTGATATGCTTTGGTTAGGAATATTTGGTTCTTTCTAGAAGGTATGTCAAGGTGAGAATGTCCTACAAGAAAGATGGGTGGTCAACTGTCCATCATTAGGAGGGGAAAAAGTGACAGTGAATATTAATTATAAGCTAAGGTTGAAGTTTAGGGAAAGCAGCTATGTATGACTCTAGGGTTGGAGTCATGGCCTGTGCTCTAACATCTTCCACATAGGTCTCTGAGTCTGGCCTGGATGATTTAAAAGTATATCATCTAGGATTTCTCCAGAAGGATCTCACCTGAGAAACATGAAAAAATCTCCCTGAACACAGATACTTACTTTGCAGAGCAGATGTGGTACCTGAACCTCAAACTTTGGTTTCTTTCATCAGTAAAGTTATTAATAAGCATGAAACCCATGTTCTTAGCCAGAAGAAGAAGATGTAGTAATGTCAAATAGAGTTTCACATGTAGCAGAAAAAAGAAAATATAGGTTAAAGGTCATGGCACACTAGCATGTGTGCGCTATAACAGATAGCTATCATGGGCAGGACAATGTGAAGGATTCGAGAAAGGACATACTTATTCCCCATTGGTGTGGGGTATGGGAAGGTTCAATGGGAAAGACAGCAACAGTTGATCTGTTGAGAGGAGGGCCATAGGAATAACTGGCAAGCTATGAAAGGTAAGCATTTTAGTGTTATTCTCTTAGCAGCTATTAGAATCCACTCAAAGAAGTGAGGTCTAAGTAACCACAAAATGTTTCCCAAAAGAGATGCATGGAGATGTCCCATATCCTGTTACTTGACCTAAGGCACAGAAGCCTCAGAGCAGTTTGTAAAAGAGCTGCTTAGACATGCACTGGCAGTCAATAGAGGATGAGCCAATGGGCTTATACAAACAACA